CCCTAACCCTAACCCTAACCCTAACCCTAACCCTAACCCTAACCCTAACCCTAACCCTAACCCTAACCCTAACCCTAACCCTAACCCTAACCTGAGTCCAAAGAACCAACTCCCATCTCCCTAGGACACTCCTATCTGGACTTCAAAAATGAATGGGAGTCTATGACAGCCCCAAGAAGGGCGTGGCCTAGGTCCACTAAACTTGGTCAGAAGNACAAATTAAGTCATATATATGGATTTTATTATGATTTCAGAATGATCCAGGTAACAAAATGTAGCTTTTAAAGCCAAGAATCTGAAAATGTAATTAGGTCATTTTGACCAAATTGGACTTAATCCTCATTTCGATATAATGGGTCACAAATGACATTAGCGTGATATTGTCATTGTGTTTTCAGCCTGAGGAGCAGTTAGAGAGTTAGTGCCTTGCTAAAGGACACTGTGACATACAGGCATGGCGGGGAATAGACCATAACTGCACCACAGAAGCCTCGACTAAAACATCTAGCGAGATTTGTTTCTTGTTACATCCCTCTAAGAATCCTGATCTCAGACCAGTTTACATCAGTTTTCCTTACCTTTAGATTCACGTTTAATGGGAGCTTGTAAAAACAGAACATGTTAGAGAACAAAATCATTTAGGACAAGACCCCAAACGAACCCTATTTCTACACGTTTCAACTCTAAAATCAAAGAATGCAAAGAGAACGATGCTGTGCTTACCAGAATCGGAGGCGTGAGACAAATATCCTGGGCTGCTGACACTGGCTGACAGGAAGTCAGCAGAGGCATGCTCCGCCTTGCTGCGCTGCTCGGGTGTGCTCTGCCTGCGAGCCGCTTGGCTCGAGCCGTTCTCYGAGTTAGGAAACCTGCAAACTGTCAGAGACCTCTCATCGTTTACTCCYAGCTCCTCTGATGAACAGTTGGCCCGTGGCTGAGAAAAGAAACGACAAAACAGAAGTCGTTTTTTTAATTATTGTTTGTGACACAAATGGGAAAACTGACAATAAAAAGAGGCGGTACCTTCGGGGGCAGAGGAGGGGGAACACAGGGCTTGATTGTTGACCTAAAAATTAATCATTTTTATTTGTTTGTTTTAGAAAATAACATAAAAACATTTACAACGTTTTAATCTTTGGACATCACTTACACTTCTACATCTTCAAAGGCATCTTCCAGATAGGCCATGTGTCCGCTGCAGAAGAGAGTCAGAGAGGAAATGAAGCTCARACAGCTCAAAGAGATGGGTGACAGGAAAAACATCTTCCATCAATAGTCCAACAATTGATGATTAATGATTTATTCAAGCAAGACTTATTTTATTATTTGACTTATTTTTAACATTCAGCGGAACGCCCGCGTGCCGTTTTGTATTTGTTTTATTTTGAAGTATAATATCYGTTTCCTGTTCTGCCTGTGTCCATGTGCAATGTATYAAAATGGACGTCTWGGCCCTCCTCTTTCCATTGACACCTCATTTGACCAACTGGGTTCAAGGTTCGGCTGTCTAGGGCCARTAAAATCTCAGAAGTGACCAACTTCCGGTTTTSGTCTTTCTAGCTTTGATTGACTGTAAAATCGGCCAATCAGCTCCGAGCTTCGTTCTGATGCCACAGCTGTGCAGCCAATCACTGTACCTTTCATTTAATGCAGAGATTCTTAACCTATGGGCCGCGGCCCAGTTGTGGGCCGTGAGCAT